TCAACTTTTAAACTCAAACTCAATTCAATAAAATTTAAACTTAACTCAATTTTATCCAAATCATTATTAATTTTTTAATTATTTATGTTAGATTGATCTTTATTTATATTTGGATAATTTATATTTAAAGAATTTTAATTAATTACACTTGAATTTTTAAAATTTTATTCATTATAATTAAATATTAATTAATTATATATAAAAAATTTATTTTTTTATATTAATTGGTGGGGCGGGGATCCCCATTCCCTGCGGGGAACGGGGATGGGGGGCAAATTTTGCCCCCCGTTAAAAATCCCCGTAGGGATCCCCGTCCCCGTCATTCGCGGGGACAGGGATGGGGAGGGACTTCCCGTCCCCGCGGGGCCCCGTTGACATCCCTAAGAAAAAGAGTACACTCCGAAACCAAAATCCCTTTGAATGTTGTATACGAAGTCTAACCTACTTCTAGAGGTTAAGGCTGAGTTTGAGCCCAATTCCCCATCGAATTCATGGGAATGGCTAGAGGTGGAGGTGGCCCAATGGTATGCCCTTAACTTATCACTTCACAAACACATGGCACGGTGCTCGTTGGGTCTTGACATACATGGCAAATTGTTCGATTTGAGAGGAGGGAAGGAGAGGGGGATAATTTTCTCTATTTGGATAACAAAATTTGGGGGAAGGTGAGGGGAGGAGAGATGCTTTCTTTTATTATTATTTTTTATAATAATTTTAGTATAACTAAATGAGGAAATAAGAGGGGAGGGAAATGGAAAGATGTGTCCCCTCACCTCTCCTTGATTCCCCTCAAACCAAACAAGAGGTTAAAGCTTAATTGTGGGAAGGATGTTTGTTGATTGTGGTAGATGGTGGATATCTTAGCCTTTGCCATCACATGTTAGAGACAAGGAGACTTTTTGAAATTTAGTTGTAGGAGCGTGGTGGACCAATCTATAAGTTTGGCAGCAAGTTAGTTGAGTTGTGACCATGTTCTTGATCTTGTGACAGACATACTGCTTGTTAAGTTGCTATATACGGAAGTGAGGTTCAGGCCAGGGTAGTAATTTCTTTCTTGTAAAATTACTAGATAAGGGTTTTTTATTTTATTTTATTTTTAATGTGAAACTTAGATAAGTTGTTGAATATTAGAAAAATTAATGAGGAGATAAAAATCAAAAGTCTTTACAAAAGAAAAAGATAACAATTTCATCGGCTTATATATATGATCTGTCAAGATATTTCCATCATCCTGCCCAAATCTATCTCCTCTTTATTTAATCCTCCATGAACAATAAGCATTTCTATTTTTTTTTCCTTTTTTGTTATTTATAAATAACAGTTTATAGTACAGAAATACAATAATTTACATAATAATTACATACTTACACATGATGAGTTGCATTTAATTTAAATTCAATCTTCTGAAAGATTACGTCTAGTAATACGTAAATATAGCAGCTTGTCTTTGCTAGGAAGAATGAGGGAGATAGAGAATTTGGGAGCGAAACTAAGTGGGGCTGACAGGGTCAAAACCCCTTAAAAGTGATCTGGATTGAGATTTTTTAAAATCTGTGACTCTCAATCCATTCTCAGCCAAATTCTATAAACAGGAACGAGGACGTTGTTTGCCAGAAGCAACACCATGGGCATTGGCACATTGAGAGGTTATAGGAACTTTATCTCCTCCAATGTAACCCATGTTAATGTCAATGAGTTCAATCCTCTGACATGGAGTGCTTTTGCTGCATTGGAGATTGACTGCAACTTGTGAGTTTGTGGTGCCCAATATTTGCTTGAATTTTACGTCCTGAATCTTCACACTCGAGGAACTCTACAAATACAGAGAAGCAAAATCTTAAGCCATAAGAAAAAAAAACTCAATTGAGACCATCTACTTTCAGAGCTTGACGATATGCCCACAAATTTTATTTCCATACCTTTTGATCACAATTCCCAGATGGGCAATATTGCTGATCAATGAAAATGGGATTGGAAACATTCCTGAGCTTAATTTTCTCAAAGGTAATATTGGAAACAAGAAGGGGATAAGAAGGAGCCCATGTTTTGATCCTTAGGCCATTGGACGTCCCCTTTAAGTTACAGTTTCTCACAATAATTCCTGTAACGTCTCCCTCGTTCTTGGACCCACCCAAGCTACCGATGCTAATGCCATGGCCAGGGCCACAATAAATGTTGCTAATGTTGATGTTCTTGGATTCCGGTCCAATAGAAATGCAGTCATCCCCGGTGCCAATCACGGAATTCAAGATACGGATGTTAGTAGAGGAACCAAGGTGGATTCCATCAGTGTTGGGGCTGTACTCCGGAGCTGAAATCCTAACGTTTGCAATTGTGATATTCTCGCATGCAAAAATGTTGAAGTGGAAGTTCTTGCTGTTTATGGATGTTATGTAATTGATTATTGAATTCGTGACAAAATCAAGTCTCATTGACTGTAGAAAAAAAAAAAAGGGAAAGCAAAGAGCATGTGGATGCATTAGTGTTTTTCAAGTTATAGAAACAAAATGACTATCACTTCTTTGTATAATTCACTTTATGTAAGCCAGGAACTTACAACAGGGAGAGAGGAGCAATTTGGGTCCTCTGAGCAATTGTTTTGAGGCCAAGCTGAGGCCCCTTCACCATTGAGTGATCCACCACCGTTGATAATCAATTGATCAACGTATTGGAATGAAATCCAATGGTCCAGAAGTGAAGAATTATCAGTAGGAGCCTTGAGGATTCCTCTAATCTTAAACACTATAGAACCTTTACAGGGCCCCATGAACACCACTGGATGCAAAAGAAATACCCCTGCTGGGATCAAAACCCCATGTTGTCCAGTAGAATTGCAAGCCCGATTCCATGCTGCCAAAAATGCCTAAATTGAACAGGAATCATCATTACTTCATAATAATAAAGTAGTTTTCCCTTTTTTTATGAGTTAATAAGATGTCATGTATGATTGAGACGGTAAGAGCATAGCCAAGTATGTACCCTATAATTTCAAAACCATGATTTATTCCCGCAAAGGTCAAGCACACTTAAAAAAAAAAAAAAGAGCAAAAGGAATTTAGGTTAGGTACCTTACTATTGTTTGTTTTTTCATCTGTAGAAGCACCAAATTTCAGCACATTGAGATAGGTTCTTGCTTGAACTTGATTTAGGCAAAACAATGTGGATATTAAGAAGAAGAAGAAACTTTTAGAAGCTGAAACAAAAACCATTTCTCCTCCTCTTTTTCTTGTTCCTTAACTTCTCTGAATCCGAATTCCACAATGGTTTTTGTCTGCAATTTATGGTGTGCTTTGATTGACACCAAAGGAAGAACGCAGAGACTTCTAAATATTTTATTTTGTTTTAAATATGATTTATTATACATTGCTTTTAGGGGTGAAAATCATTCACGTTGTTGCTTCTATAAAAGAAAATCAAATAACCGAAAGACTCAAAGTTTTATTATACAAGTTTTGTATGCCTGTACTAAACATGTGAATTATGTATTTGATTCTTTTTGTTTACAATTTTTGGGATTAGGAAGGTACTTTTTAAAGGCAAAGAAATTGAATTTCAACTTAAAGCATCCTTAACCAACCAAATCATCTGGACATCTTTACTTGAATTTGCAACATAAATAGTTGAATAAGCACATGCTTTTCTAAGCCTTAATCAAAGCCAAGGCTGTTCTCTTACATGTCATTTACCTTTTTGTAGGTTTTATTCGATGGTGAGTTATACGACATGAATAGTCTTCCTTCTTTTCCGTTCCAAGGACCAGTTGTGCAAATAAGAAGTGGGTTCAATCCTGTTTTAACCTTGGCTAAATACGAAGTTATTGGGTTGGGGGAGGTGTGGAACTAGGAAAACAGGGAGGGCGGGGCCTTTTTTCTTGCACCCTAATTTTAGATAATTTTTGTCTTTACCAAGAGATTTAGGATAAGGCCTTTATCATTTTTTTTTCCTACAGCTTAATTGGCTTAGGATAAGTCTCATAATCTTTTTTTTTTTAACTTTTTGAAACTTAGGGTTTATACTTTATACCCAATCCTCTTATAATGTAATTCCACCTTAATTGGCTAGTCTATCTTATAACTTAATTGATACATAAATTCCTACTAGTTTACCATCACACCCTACTAGTTTTCTCTCTGTATTTTCTAGAAGTAACTAAGAAGCCGAAACTTGTGAAACTGTGAAGCACTTTGATTTGCTTAATACTTGTGAAGCACTTTGTTTTTGTTTTGCTTTAGTGTTTAAATAATGCAAAATCTTAAAAATCAGACTTCGGACCTTTCCCCAGACCAATATCAGAACTGTATTATTGGTGCAGTGTTTTAAGACTTAACTAATGATAGGACGGGAGTCGCTGCACCACCACCACTCACCTATATCCGCTAAGCTAGTGGAAATCAGAAATACCTAGCTTAGCATGCAAGCGCAACAACCTACAATTTAAAGCAAAACGTAAAGCCCTCCATGCTCCTGGAGTAAAACTGGGTTCGGAACACTTTCATTTATATATATGGACGTACAGACACCATGAAGGTTCCTACTAATCTGAATCAGATATTGTTCAAACGAGAAGTGAAGTCACTATTGAAATTGATTCCATTTTATTATTATTATGGTAAATCAGTGTATCAAGAAGTCAATCTGAGATCTTATTTTGGTTCAATACGTCCACCTACGAACTCACCTTTTGGTAGGCACGGAAAAGAGTCGAGCTGACCATGGTCGACGACTGGGAGACGGAAAGAATGAAAGAGTAACCATGATTTGATTACGGATTCATAAATGATTCACACCAAACAAAAATAATAAGCTTTATATCTCACAACAATCAAATAGGAATGATACACGAAACGTAGGATTCAAGAATTTTTGTCTTCCCTTAAAATACATGGAGGAACTGAGGAAGAATGAACATACCTACAAAAAGGGGTAAAATAACAGACGAAAAGCCAAAAAGGAGGTGTTTGCCGTCAAGCAGTCATGTAGCAAAAGCAAGAAGCGAGATACAGCCAACGAGACCAGGAATACATTAGGCCAAAATGATTATGAGAATAGAGTGACTCTCCTACCTTATTACAAGAGTAAAATAACGGCAAGAAGCATCGCCAGATTTGAGATAGCAGCAACTTTAGGTTGTCCACTTGGCAGTGGGGCTGGTGTAGTTCTAGTCGGACTGGCTGAAGGGGATTTTGCTGAACCAGCGGGCAAAGGTGGCTCTACCACATCTGCCTCTGTCAGTATGGGATATGGAGCTTCAGCTGGTGGCATAGAAACAGCTGCAATGAACTGCAAGAGGCCAGCAGGCGGAATGGCGAGCATGTAGGGTGGTGTTTTATTACCCCTATTTAAGCACCTATTCCCTGTAAATTGTCACGTCAACATAGTCTCTATTACATGTATGTTCCAAAACAATAGTCTATGCTATAAATGGAATGATAGCTCAAAGTTCTGCCCATAATATGGAAAAATGCATGCTTGAACATAGAAAAGCACTAAAACTTGTTCAGATAACTGGCACTACTTCAATGCACTGACTGCATTTTGGCATCATTTAAACAAAGTAACTTATGTAGAAATAGAATTAAGCATCCACTTACTTCGATATCGAGCAGATGTCTTTGGGAAGTCTGTGACTACACCACTGATATTGAATCCCTGGTAAAATGAGTTGATCTCAACTGTTGCATCTGAGAAGAAGTCCCATGCTTGAGATATGAACTCATTACTGAAAGTTTCTACATAAACTGGGAGCTTGAATGATTGTAGTTTGGCCACAACATCTGTTTGGCCAGTGAGGAAGGCCTTCCTTTCAGGAAGCACAGAGATCTTGTCAACAACCACAGACTGAGCAAAGCTCTTGATGTCCTCAACAGTGGCATTAAGAGCACCCCGAATCGTTTCATCAACCTTGTAGACAAGCTCATAATTGGCACCCTTGACCTTCTTTAGAACAGAACTATTAGGAGACTGAATCATAACTTTTGGAGTTATCAGTTGATCATATCCAGCTTTGCTCAAGGCAGTAAGTACTGCATTAGTTACACTCAAGTTTTGCTTCTCTGCAAGGTAAGCTGCATTCTGAACATGAACAAATGAATCAAGAAAAAATTGTCAAACTCCTCAAAAACAAAATAATGAGTCAACGTATCATTCTGATCTCAAAACAGTAAGGATGGAGATCTTTAAAAGACAAGGCATTTGTAAGAAAGCAGATTGTGTTACTCAGAATAGCAGTAATATGTCTGTATTTGTTTCTGACTTTCTGTAGTTGAAACAGTAACGTAGATCAGCCAACTTAGAGCATCTAGAAAGTCAGAAGATTAGCTTGTGTATTTTATGCTTATATAATTTTACAAGTCAAAAGACCATGCAGTAGTTTCCAATGAGAGACTTGTGAGTCTTAAAAAGTTATTTACAAGAAGATTTACAAAAAAGGCAGTGAAAGTTCAAAATTAAACCAGAATGAATCTTAGCAGTTTGAGATAAAAGGAACTTTTTGATGACATAACATTCAGTTTTGTTGTCCACCAGGATGTGTGTCAAGACTTTTGGGAACTGACGAGTGAGCATGACATCTTGGAAATGATTCATAGTCTTGATTCAAGGAATCAACAGTTCTGTGATGCCCCAATCCCATAGGGAAGTTAGACTGAGAGTAAGTGGTACATATGGATTAAGGCCACCTGCTACTATCAACTAAAGCTTAAGCTTTTAGGGGCTACATGCCAAGACCCAAGAAAAATGCATTTTTCAGCTGCTATGATTCAGTGGATTGGAATACAAACTTTAAGTTATCTTCTTAGACCGCATTTACCATATCATCTTTCACCAGATACTCGGACAACAGTAACTAACATGCATTCAGGAAACTTAAGATTAAGAAGATGGCAAACTTGAGATTAAGAAGATGGCCCCTAACAAGTAATAGCATGCACAAAAAGGAACTCACCTCTATGCTGATTAAGACACCAGAAAGAGAGCTAGCATTTTTTGTCAGGGCCAAGAAATGAGACAATGTTACAAAATTTCCAGCATCTTTGAACTTCGGATTTCGAAACATTTGGTACTTTGCCTGTGGGTTTGATATTGACGCTGCAGTGACAAAATAATGGATCAGCACAGGTATGTTGACCAAAAAGCTATGGTTAATCATATCCATCCTAGATTATAGAATATTAGAATTAACCACTGAAATCTCAGTACAAACTCCAAATGAGTAAGTGACTTCAGTCAGTGACATCCTTTTACTCTTTCTTCAATTTCTTGGACACATAGACACTTTAGGATTCATTTTCCTCTCTTGTTTCTATTTGTTCCCCTCTTGCATTTGGCCTCCATTGTGCATACTTTCAGTGTGTTCAAGTTGATATCGTTAGTTAATTTCTTTATCATTTAGAAATCATTTTTCAATGCACAAAGGTTTCTAAAAATATATAAATTTAAGAACTGAAGAAATACCTAAAATAAAAAAACAAACAAAAAAGAAGCATATAAAACTCACGTTTCAAGGTCTGAATATCATTCCATGTCAAACTAAAGGTGAATATTCCACTGCCTTGTTGAATCTCTGGAATTGTTGTTAGAAGGTTGCTGAAACTTGATTGAGCAGCATTTGTGCTTTCAATAAGATTTATAGTTGGCAAGCAAATTGGTATCCCGTCCTTTGTCATTTGCACTGGGCAGTCAATAACGTCTGCACCATCATCAATAGCTCTTAAGTATGCCAAGTCAGTGCATCCAGGGTAGTCTCCACTTGCTCCAAATTTGGTGATTATCAGAAGATCAGCTGGAGCATGGCAAGGGAAAAAAATCATGTGTTAAGAAGAAACTTCACAGAATTGACAGCGCCATAAAATAAGCCATGCGTCCTTTTACACGACAGTTAGTGGGGTGAGAAAGGATCAGTTTTTATATTAGAAGCCATGTTTTATAATCTGTACCTTGTTTTGGAGCATTTTTGCCCAGGTGAGCGAAGCAATCTGCAGGAATGAAAAGGAGCATGAATTTTAATGAAAGTGGTTTTCATCAACCTAGAAGTCAAGATGAAGCTACTGTGCTGGATATATAGTTTCACTTTTACTAAGAAAACTTAGCAACTTACCTATAGCTGCTGATGGAGTTATTGGGAAGTCAGATATTACACCATCAACAGAGAATTCACCATTATCAATGAAATTTAAATACTCAGCCAGTGGATCATAGCTGTAATTGTAGCTCATTTGAGCATCATCATTTACAAAGTCTGACGCAAAAACTTCCAGCCCTGCTTTGTGAGCATCTGAGACTACAGAGGTTGAAGGTTGCAAGTACAAATTAGAATCTAGTGGCCATATGTAAGACTTGGGAACAATAATTCCAGAGGCAAATGTCTTGATAAAGGTGAGATTCTTTAGCAGAGATTCATAAGTCTGGTTGGTTGAAGGTTCAATGTCGACTTTTTGCCTAAACCGGAAGACCAGCTTTGTCTTGTTTTTGGCAAAACGTGCTGCAATACTCCTCAAGAAACCAACCTCTGGTGAAGAGATGTAATCAACGACAACAGTTCTAGACACAGAAAGTACAAAGCTTCTCATACTCAAATTATGTTGCAAATAAAATGCATCATGCTGCAAAAGCATCGAGCAATAAGGTTAATTCTAAATCAAAACAAGGAGATAAGGCTCTACAGATAACAAAAGGAGTAAGAATGTCAAACCAGGCACTATTAAGCAATTGAAGGCCTGGGTCAATATATATATATATATATATATATAGGTCTTTCTAATTAACCAATCATTTATTTACCTCAATATTCAACCAGAAAGCTGATGGTTTCATTTGTTGACGCACATCCTGTACAGTTAGAATTTGGAACAAATTGCTATCAAAATAAGCAGTCCGAGAATAGATTCCTTGAGTTACTGTCCATGTAAAAGTGAACATATTAGAATCCCTCACATCAAAATGATTAGCTGGAATAGATAAACCACAATTTATCTGCACTCCAAATCTGTAATATTCCCATGTGTGTGCTTAAGATTATGGAGATGTTGAACAATACACAAAGAAATAAAATGCCACACCAATATCTCATGATTAGTTCCAAATAAAAATTTATTAGAACTCTCTAAGTGGGATATTCATTAGAAATTGAGAAAGGGAATAAAGAAAAAAAAAAAAAGAAGAGTGAATGAACCTACAGAAAACATTTTCTAGGTCGCTGTGGTTGAAATCCACAGAAAACCATCCACGAGTAGGAACCCCATCAACTAGATACTCCTTCTGCTTGTTCTTGAAAACATCCGCGATGTTAGAACTATTGTCTAGCTTAAGATAAGGAAAGCAAACCCCAACTCCATCTTTAGTTAACTGAACATCACACCATAATATGAGATCTGAAACGCTGGTCCGAATTGCCAAAGCATAAGCTAACGAACTAGAATCTGGAAATAATCCAGAAAATCCACCTCGTGCCACAACCAAGGGCGCGGCTCCTGCAACAAAGCAAGAAAACAAGTGTCAGTTTCCTAAAGACACAGCACAAAAGATACTTGTCAGCTTCCTAAGGAACAAAATTAGAACCTTCGTGAACCTGGAATCTTTTCTCTTGTAGGCATTAAAACCATTGTGCACATTTCCATCATAATTCAAAGACTCGGATAAAGGATGTTAAAACTTCTATTTTGAGTGGAAACAAAGAAAATGAAAGACTAGATACAGAATTTTCTCATGTTTTCCCCTACTTTCTAGTCAACCAATCAGAAAGTGATTCAAAGAAATTCAGAGAAAAACAATAACTGAAGTTCATAAACTTTAAGAGAAAACATCAATCTTAGACCTTACCAGAGCTAGAGAAAGAAACACTTCAGATATACAGAAAATAACTAAAAACCAAACACAACAGTTGAAAATTAAACAGAAGCAAGAGGAAATGCATCTTCTTCAAGAAAAAACAGGGACAAAAACAATTAAAACTTCATATTTTCTCAGGAAACAAGCAGGAAAACTAAAATCAAAGGGGGGAATCTAGAGCAAATTTCACAGTGCTTCCAACGCTTTCTCAGCTACCAAACAGGAACTAACCTCCAAAACAAGAAAATTTAGAGATTAAGAAAAAACGCACCGCTTAGAGTCTGCCATCGGGAAGTAGTATTAGATCCCCGAGCAGAGACCAGAGCTACTATCACTGAGTGGAGTACGAAGAGAGCAATACAGAGGTCACGCACACGACACATTGCTGGCGAATCTGGCCGGCAAACTCTAGCAGCCGGAGACGAAGATCTTCACCGTCCGGTTTATTGCGTCGGGAATTGTAGTGGGATTCGCCGAGAGAGAGAGAAAGGGAGAGCTGCTTCAACTTTTTGGCTGGCTTTTTCCTGAAATTGCTATTTATAGAGGTTAATTAATTGTTTTTAATTGATTATTAATTATTGGATTTAATTCTTAATTTTCGTAAGTTAATTAAATGAACATTTAGTTACGGGTTATCATGTTTGCTGCAAGAGCCGGCTGGAATCTTGCTTAGGAGGTCGGCTCAAAGCCGAGCGAAAACAACACTGTTTGAACCTGCGAAGTTTCGTGTTGGTTTCTACCCTCTGCTTTTCATATTGGTAATTGAAAAATCTCGTAAGGATCAAAATAAAAGTAACTAAATATATGTGTTAAATATAATAAATATAAAAAATTTTATTCTACTTGCTAGTACTAATTAATTTTATATGGGAAAAATCACTTACCCAATTGTCAAATTTTCACACACGGTTTGAATTTTTGTCCAGAAGTTGCAATTATATAGGTGCTACTAAGGTATACATTAATG